AGCAGTGCACTCAGCCAATGTCAAATGTATTGCTGGCCTATCGATGGCATATCCCTAATAAATAAATAATATATATGTACATAAATTTATGTATGTACAATGTATATGCATATGTACATAGTCCTTCACAATTTTTTCCTCTTCATAGATGCTGAAGAATGTAGCCGAAAAACTTACAAAAAAAACTCATCAGAAGATCGATGTAGAATTGTATCAGCTGCTAGGTGTGGCGAAGATTGGGTTTCTCTTGCAACTTATTTAGGCGTTGCTTATAAAACCGCCTGGCACTGGGTAAAATCGGGTCGCAGTGAATACCTTACAAAAGGAGGTTCCAAACCAAGATTGCTATCCCAAGAACAACTCGACATTATAATAACATGGCTAGAGGAGAACAACAGTATTACGCTGACAGCAATTCAAGCCCGCATACAAAAGGAATTCAACATTGTGGTTTCTCGCACAACGGTAGGCAATTACCTTGACGGTAAGATTTATACCGGCAAAGCTGTTGTATACACAAACCAAATTAATAGCGAAATAAACAAAGATAATCGCGCAGTTTACGTTGCTGCTATGAACCTGCACATTCAAGCCGGCAAGCGGATAATGTACTTGGGAGAAACGNCAAGATTTATACCGGCAAAGCTGTATACACAAACCAAATTAATAGCGAAATAAACAAAGATAATCGCGCAGTTTACGTTGCTGCTTTGAACCTGCACATTCAAGCCGGCAAGCGGATAATGTACTTGGGAGAAACGAAATTTAAGTGCTTCTGTCGATGCAAAGCGGGTTATCGTGCGATGCAACTGCTTACAGCAGCGAACCCACTTAATATACACTTAATTGGAGCAATTTCTTCATTGGGCGTTGTATCCATCGACAGACAGCGGGATTCCTTCACAAACGAAATGTTTGGCACATGGTTAGCCTCGATTCTACAACAGTGGCAGAAAAATGGAAACAGTCTGAACGATTTAGTCATCGTATGTGATAATGCGTCATATCATTCTAATATAGAGCAGTGTGTGGCAATTATTTCTCATGGTTGCACACAAGTGCTGCGACTGCCGCAATATTCCCAGATGCTGAATCCCATTGAAATTATTTGGGAAAAAGTAAAAATGTTTGTGAAAAGCCACAACTCAAAAAGCGAAATGCGAAATGAACTAAATGTAATAGANTTGCCGCCATATTCCCAGATGCTGAATCCCATTGAAATTATTTGGGAAAAAGTAAAAATGTTTGTTAAAAGCCACAACTCAAAAATCGAAATGCGAAATGAACTAAATGTAATAGAACAACGACTACAATATTTGGAAAACTTGTTAGATGATGCTAAAGGCACAATTACAGGCGTGGAATGCGAAAGAGCCTTTCAAAGATCATATGCTCTGCATGTAGATGCCGCTGCGCTAAAAGATATGCCCATATGCTTAAATTAATTTTACCGTCAAGTACATTGATAATTGTTAGATTTTATTAAGTAGAAAAATTAAATAATTATGTAATACTAAATAAAAAAACAATGAATTGCTTTTTCTGCATTTTTATTTGTCGTTTCCCCCATTAAGTCAATAGAGGAGTTGTGCGAGCATGTGTCGTGAATTTTAACGAATCAAGTTCTGTAATATGCCACTACTTCCAAAGGATACACATAACTAAAAGTCGTCTTTAAAGATTTGCATATTTTAACTTTTAGTTGTAGAAACCATAAAATTTATTCATCCAACAAAACTGAGTTTTAAACCAAATAATAATAGTAATAGTAATAACTAGAATAGTGCTTACACAATATGTTAGTATGTGGCCGAGCTTCTCCACC